CTTTCCCTAGAAATCTCATTCAGGGACTGTCTATACATAATGCCGAGGCACACAGATACCCATGCTTGCTGTGGTATCAGTAGTACAGCTCTCTCCTTAAGATAATATACTTTGCTTCTCAAATAGGATACTTGGAGAAACAATGCCACTGAGATTGCGATACCACTTCTGGTATCCAAGATAGTTCATTCAGAGTACATGCTGGAATTATACTTACATTGGCCTACCTTGGGTTAGGTCAGTCTAAGTGCCAGACTGTACATACATTTGGAGAGTTCAGATTGGGCAAAAATGGCCAGCCCAATATAGCTTAGTTCATCTGAGGAGGTGCACTATGTATATACAGCTAACTCATGGCCAAACTATGTATATCCAGTCAACCCATGGCTAAACCCAGGAGCACAGCCCTGGGGCTGGGAAAGTCCAGCTGCTTAACTGAGCCCCAGGGCTGTGCTTTTCTTACCTCCCACCCCAATCCTGACAGTGTTTTTTTAGCCCTCCAACATCCTCACCTCTGGACCTGCCAGCCCGCCAACCCCTCCCAGGCCTGCCAACCCCCTCTGCTACCCTCTCCCCCAATACTGCCCACCTCTCCTCTCCCCACACCCTGTCTTAGACTGCATTCCCAGAGCAGTTCCCAGCACTGGTGAACATGCAGGGGACATGACAAACAAGCAAGGATCTGATCTGTGATCACTCAGCTTAAAGTAAGCCATGTGACCATAGATCCAGTCCCAGGAACGTCTGCACGTGCCCTGAGTTAACACCATTTTGCCTTGTAGAGCTTCCCTCAATGTGCCATTTTATTCAACATAAAACTTAAGAAACATAACCAAAATAGTTCCTCTACCCACCCCAGACTACCATTCCCAGAGACTTTGTTTCCTTCAGTCTCCCTACTTTGGCATCTAATGCAGGAACCTCTCTCTCTCTCTCTCTCTCCTCCCACACTCTGCTACTGCTCTCTCAGCCTTTAAGGAGAATGCCTGACTCTGGATTTAATAGCTCTACAGGCCTGGCTAGATCTAGACCTCTGACTCTCAAATGTCCAGCCTGTTACAGATCGGTTTAGGTTTTCATAATGGAAGCAGATTAACTTTGTGGAGATGGTCTGTGGGAGGCAATAAAGCCTATTGGTAGGATTAGGCCATAGAATATTTAGTACTAAACTGGGAGATAAGAGCTTCTGTATCCTGTGAGGGTTCACATACTAGTAGAATGAGGGCATGGCAACTCCCTCCCAATGAACTGAGGGCCTCAAATTGCAGTAATAAGTATTTAGCGTAGCTGTATCAGCACAGACTTAATGGGTGCCTGTAGATGTGCCGGGAGGCTGCTCCAATGCACTGTAATTACAGCCTGTCAGAGCAGACTTAGTTGATCAAGTCTGCTGGAGCATGCTAATTATCATGCTCCAGCCAGCCTCAACATCCCATGTATCAGCATCTTTATACTTCAAAATGGCAGCAAGGGCACTTTAACTAAAGTTCATTTAATGAGCTTTAGTTATAGCGCCCCCAACATCATTTTCAAGCGCAGGGACGCTGATACACAAGACCCTGTGGGCACTTAAATTAGCTTTCAGCTGCTCTAATTAAAACATCCATGCCCCCGCCCCCCCACCAGAGCACATGTAAAAACACCCAACATAAACAGACAAAGCCACTATTTGTACTACTTAAGTTTATCCCTGCTTGAAACCATGGAGGAAATAGCTTCAATTAGTTACAGGAGAGGGAATCTTTGACTGTCTACTGGTATAGCTTCAGGAGTGACTGTAAGCTTGGCAAATCTTGACTCTGGTGACATTCTAATCCAGTATATGCAAATTTATGCACATTAATAAATTCTATTGTAATCCTCCTTGTGATGAGTTTACATGATCAACCCACAACTCTGGCTTTTTCCACTTTACTTAGCATAAAAAGTAAAAGAATGAAAATTCAGAATAAATGACAAATAACACAGGATTTACCTGCTCCTATCACTAATGCTTTTGCAGCAGAGGTGTTAACACAGTGCAGGAGGGACCTGGAGTGGAGGTTGACGTTGAGGAAAGTTATCACAAAGCCCAGTTTAGCCAGTCCAAACCACACATGGATGAAGTCGGGCTCGTTGCTCATCAGGAGGGCTATGGTGTCTCCCTTTTTCAGAGCCTCCTGGCGCAGGAAGACCTGAGCTACCTTGTTACTTCTTCTGTCCACATCCTGGTAAGTGTGGACATTCCCTTCATAGATGATGAATGGCTTATTTGGAGTCTTTTGTACTTGTAGCATAAACATATCAGTCAGTGAGTGGATTCCCTTACTTGCCCTCCTTGTTATCCTCATTTTAAATCTAATCCGCCTCATGAAGTAATTCAGGTCTTCCCAAAAATATGGGGACAGGAACTTCAAAGAAACATACAACATTACTGCTCCTGCAGCAAGCGCTGAAAGCCACATGTATAACATGGTGCTAATAAAAACGACACACATAAATTCATTACTGATACAAAACATAACATTAATATGGTCATCAAGGGTTTATGGGTCTTACAATGTCTGCAGAAAATGCTTTCATGCCTTGGAAATTCCCCACTGGAGAAGAAGAAATTTGCACACACCACACAGAACAGATAATGCATTTAGAAAAACATAAAGTCTCTAAAAATGAAAATGTTCTAGCTTTCACAAGCTTATAAAATAAGTTTGATGTATGCCCCAAGACATTCTCAAGTTATGGGTGGATTTCAATAAACACCAATCAACCAAAAATGAAAAAAACCACTCCTCTAAGCTCTTTAATTTGTAAATGGCTTTCCTGGTTAACCTCAGTTTTCCCAAACATCAATTTTCTCCTCTGAGATTAGTCATGTCAAATTTCATGCCAAAATTAGCTTGATTTTTAAAAAGTTGGAAGTGGCTCAAAATTAGACCTAAAAATGGAACTAGACTTGCTTTTTTTTACACTTGAGTCACTTTTATGGCTCCACAGTACCATACTGTCTCCTAATTTCAACTTTTGCTGTTATTACTAAGTGTACCACCCCTGCACATCTAATGAAACTCCAGTGGGCAAATATTTTGGCTAATGAGTACTGAGTGCTATTGAGACCTTTATACTACTCCAGCATAGGTTAGAATTATTATTGGGGTTCCTCTGCCACTTGTATGGCTCTACAAGTATTTGTGGCACACCCAATTCTAAAATCCACACTAAGGTTAATATAGATGGCAGCATTTATAAACTAGGAGGAAACATGTGTACATAAGTGCCACAAGAAAATAATTTATGAAAAGGATGATAACGTAAAACAAGGCGTATGAGCTAATTGCCTTTTGGCAAGAGGATAATTTAAAGATGGGTAAGTAGCAGATCCACTGCAATATGCTCAAGGAGTGAGTATACCTCAAGGCCAGGTGTACAGAAAGGATCTTAACTCCTCCAGTGAAAAGAACTGTCCCTTATTTTTAATTCTTTTTTAAAATAAATACAATATATGGGGCAGAGAAATGCTGAACAGAGTAAGATTTAAACAGAGAAAGGTAAAGGTTAATACAGAGTAGATAGACAAGGAACCCAGCAGTGAGTGCTGGAGAAAGGCATGCATCCTACATCTTGCCATTCCACACTCAAAAGCAAAAAAAGAAGTGGGGGCAGGGAAATTGAAAGGATAATTAGGTGGGAATCTTTATCAACACACAAAAGTATTCATTAGGTTTACTTTAGGAAAGATGATATGGACAAATAAATACTTTTTGTGTGATTTCCGTCAGAATTTTTTCCAAATTTTCCTCTGGAGAAAGAAGTAGGGACAAGATTTTCCTTGCCATGTGTGAATAGAACAAAAGCCTGACCATAAAATGCAAAATCATCTGGAGATACGGGTCTACTCATGTGAAGTAATAGTTTCAGAGTTTTTTTGACCTGCCTTTCCAGCTTCTTCAGAGAATCCAACATAAAAAGGATTCTCTCTCTCTCTGTTCCACGCCATAACACAATAGAAAATTCCACAGCACCCAGAAGGTTGGAATCTACCACTAGTGTTGGAGTCTAGCATTGGACTGATATATGTGCCTACCTTTGGCCTCACTTTCCTGACCCACCCTATTTCTTCCACTTCTGACCCTCTGAATCCATTGACGTGAGGCCTTTGGTATGTCCGAGAAATTAAATAACAAAGTTGTGGAAGT